TAGAGTGGAACCGACCCGAATAGACCCGACCCGACCAATTGGACACCCCTAACATGAAGGCGTAGCCCAAATTTTTAAAGCTGTTTCACATATGAGTTGAGAGTAAATTGCATAGGTATTAGTCATTTAAAGAAAAGGTAAATTGCATAGTTAATCATTTAATTTAGTTGTTAAATAGATTTGATTACTGGGAAAAATAACAGTAACATTTATAAAATTAATTAATTAATTTATAATAATATTGAACAACTAGGATAATTAAGGTGGATGCTCACCCTGAATATTTATAATATTCAAGTTTCATTGTACATAGAATCATGGAGTTTAATACAGATATCGACGGATATATCGAACGGATATATCGACGGATATATCGACGGATATATCGAGGTATCGATGAAATTCAAATATAAGTGGTCCAAAATGCACTAAAATGACGGATATTTATAGTAAACGTTTGAATTTTGCCTTGAAATTTTGACCAATTCTTATTTACATATTTTCACATGTTTTAGAATCAAGATATGATAAATAGAGTATATGTAGACATTATTTTTTATTTTTTTTTTGATATTTTTTACTGCGAAAAGTGTAAATAATATGTATAAATCAACTATTCTAATTTAAACACACATTTATTTTATCTTCAAAATGATGTTTACCAAATTAACCACTTCATTAAATGTAAAAAATTATATGATTTCTTTTCTGAAGCTAGAAATTACTAGATCATATTTATAAATGCATCATTTTACATTATTTTAGTCACAAAACACAATCCAAAGCACAAATACAACCTACATTGAATTTCTTGGAGACTCAAAATCACTACTACCGTAGTTACCACTGCTATAACTTCTACTAGGCATGGATGTATCATCTTCCCCGGGGGCGGTAATCCAGTTAAAATATTCAAGTCATGACATATAAGGTTTATAAACCACCATATAATTGTGCACATATTCCAAATATGCCTCTCGACTAATACTTGTTAGCCATCCAATAGGGGGGCACTCACCCGAAACAGCGTCCGCGTTTGGCTGTTGCATCGGATGCTCATTATAAGTCTGTTGTTCAAGTGGATACTCTGGATACATGTTAGATGAAACCGATGATTCAAACTCATTTGCTCCAGATCTAGTACCATAACTAGAATTTGATTCAAAATGCCCTCCATATCCAAATGAACTAGATGCAGTTGTTAAACTCATTGAGCTAAACTCATCAGTGAGTTCACGCATTGCTCTTCTCCCTTTTCTATTTTTGGCCCCATGCCCAGCTCTACAAGATCCATGATTTTCATCTTGTGTTGCATGTGTGAAATCTGCCTCACATGGAAAAAGACCGTATGGTACATAATAACTCCCATAATTGTCACCATACCTGCTTGCATCTTCTGCTCCACTTTGTCCATCCCCACCTTGAGTACCTGTTGTTGTAGTTCTGCCTTCATTTCCCCCTCATCATCATCATCATCACATCTTCCGTGAGCTGAAGAACCTCTAAATTTAGGTTGGGAATCGAATCCAGGTGGAGGACCAACTGTTTCATCTGTTGAACATTCTAGACCAACCTCTTCAGACATCACTTTGTCGACATCAATCCCAAATTCTTCAGCATGACTTCTAATTTGCTGATCAGGATTTCTATCACGATCATCTAAATGCACATGCCTAATCCATTGAAAAAGAGGATATTCTTCTTCATCACCAATGTCAACAGAAATATCAAGAATATTCAAAGGATCTTGCTCAGTCTCCTCTTGTGCAGCTTCCATGTCTCTAACTCGTAATCTCATATTATAGTAACAATACACAAGATTCTGCAGAGATTTATGTGCTAACCCAGGTGTCGAATACCAACACTTGAACGAAAAAATTATCGAGAAACCCGGATCTATCTCAAACCGAATCACTTAAACGAAACAATTATTTGTATTACACTATTATCACAGTTTTGTATAAATGACTTCAATTGCTAATATTTTTGAAAAAATGAAATAATTCATCGAAATGTCGCTTATATTTTTAATCCTAAATGTAAAAACGAAAAACAATATTTAATTTAATATGGATATTTATGGATATTTACGGATATTTACGGATATATCGAGATTTATCGAGATATCGATAAATATCGACGGATACACGGATATATCGACGGATATTCCGTGACATTGAAATTTTTATGGATATTTATATCGAGGTGTACAGATATCGGATATATCGACCGATATATCGAGGTATCGACGGATATTTAATTACATGCATAGAATAGATTTCTTTGGACTTGAATCGAAGAAGATACCGTCCGGTCTTGGCAAGTACTCCTACTTAGGGAATCTTACCTGAATTCGACCCGTGACTTCACCCTCCAACCCAGGCAACCGAACAACAACTTCTTTAACTTCTTCCTTCCTTTCCCATTATTATAGTTTTATATAGTTCCTTCCTTCCTTGTAGTTTTATATACAAGTCAAGTTACTTGCCATTTCCAACATTATTGAATTCCTTTCTCCTTTATTTACCATTGGGCAATGGGCAGTTGCAACTAGACAATAAATAATATGCATTATTACTTATTCATTGATGTTACCTATTGACAAGGTGTTGATCTCTTTTTTCATCCATATTTTTTTTACCAGAAAACTCTTATATTATATGTGTAATAATATTACAACATGCAAAATCATTACACAAATACTTCTTTGACCAAGGCAACAATATGATGCCAATGTTAAAGCTCAAATGAAGATGGATTTTGATCCAACTCTTTAAATCGAAAATTTGACCCCCGCCCCTCTTCCTTCCATTGTTATTTGTTAGGCACAAGGCACATTGCACAATCCAAAAAGGTGGAGCTGCTCAATTTATTTTCCTTCCATGCAGCATGATTGATCTCATTGGATTTTTGTTCTATTCATTGGGCTTCAAAAACCAACCAAATATCAAATCGATGCATACATGACATGACATTTTTTCTTTCTTTTGCAAACGAATGAAAAGATATATATCGAGTTCAAAATAAGTGCATACATGACATGACCAACGGAATGGTGCTTTTGTTTTGAAGCCCATGGGAGAGTGGAGAATAGAGAGCATGCCATGTTTAATTACTACAAGCACATGCTTCTTGTCAGATAATTCAAGACATGGATTGAGAATATGAATGAATTAATGCTTCAATCTGGTTCTCTCATTTCTTTCACAGCATCATCAGTTGAAGAATCAGAAATGTACCAATATGAGGACAGAACTGGCTGCAATATCTCTGTTCAACTGGAACATAACATTTGGTGTAGGAAGACACAGGGATCAGGGATGTACAAACAAGACATGAATCTTATAAAACTGCACCTCAAATCTATATCTTATAATTCTCTCAGTAATCAATATGTCAATGCTTCTTGGGTATACAATGTTTCAGCCTTTCAGGTATTTGGATGTTGAGGTGGCAAATGGGCGGGTCAGATTGGTTTCGGGTTGGGTAATTTCAGGTTCGGGTCTTATACAGGTTTTGGGCTCATTCAGGTTCAGGATTCATTCGGATTCAGTCCAGTCGAGTTCGGTCTTAGTCGGATTTGGTTATTTACAATTTCAGGTTAGGATCGGTCTCGGGCTCAGGTTAGGTTCGGGTTCAGACTTTGGCTCATTTTTATTTTTGAAAAATAAATTTTCATTGATTTTCCATTTTCTGAGGTAGAATTATATCAAATTCAGGTTAGTCTTGGGTTCGAGTCGTCTCAAGTTCGGGTAAATTCGGTTTTGGGTAATTTCAGATTCGGGCTTAAGTAGGATTTCAGTTGATTTTCTTAGTTAAACCGGGTTCGATTGGGCTCGGATTGGGACGCGGATTTGGACGGTTTCAGTTGAAATTTTGGATTTAGATTCATTTTTGCCATCTCCGTCATAATTCTAATTCTATATGTGAAATCAGTATTCTGGCAGTTTATTATTATTATTATTATTATTATTATTATTATTATTATTATTATTATTATTATCAAATTAACTCTTTTTATTATTAGATTTAAAGATGGGGTTTATGCTTTTCCTTTTCTTGTTTATTTGCAGCATAATTGAGATTTGAGATGAAACCAACGAATCAGTCTGCTACAAATGGTGCTTATCCCTTGAGAATGTATGGGAATTTAATACAGTAAGACAACATTCAATGTTCCCTGGCCACTGGTAAGCAACCCAAATTACTTGCTTCGCAAACAATCATAAAATCAGGGGCCCAAAAAGAGTTAGATGGTTCAAAAGAGACTTCAACAATCCTAATTATTCAGGATACTTGGATCTACAGAAATGAATTACACCCTTCTTGATTAAAATTCTTGTCAAAATAGAAGGAAAGAGAAATCAAAATTTAGGCTGCAAAATTTTCTATCAATAGCAGACTTATAAAATCAACTATTGCCCTGCCTTGGATGCTCCAACTAGGAATCCAACAGAAAATTGTGAAATATCACTTTGATGGAGGATTAGGTAAAACTTTCATTTTCAGTTATCTCTCATGTAGAATATTTATATTATCATCATGATGCATGTGACATAACTGAAACGGCCCTAAACTTAACCATAATTAGAAAAACAGGTTTGCTTTAAGGATTCAATTATTTTATGGGATAATGATAAAAGCACCATGATCTAGGCCTTTTGATGCAATACATCATTATTATTTCTACAATTTGTAAAACTAAATATATTTCACCACACCTTACCTAAAAGAAGCACCAACAAACAAAGCAGGAAATCATTTCTTTACCATGACTTGTGCAATTTTTTTTCTTAATGCTCCCATCAATTGGTTTTGTCTCACTCATGAACCCCCATTCAAGGAGGGAAATGAAAAAAAAAAGAAGAAAAAGAGTTACATTTCATGTGAAATCAAAGAACATATTTACTTTCGATCCTTAGAGGGAAATACAGATATCAACTATTCTCATGATCAAGCATAGAAATTAATAGGAAAAAAAAGGAAGAAAAAATATAGTTTCAATGGTACCCTTTCTTGGCATGCCTGGTGCCAACATGGTGCAACCATCCAATCCCTTTGAGGGCCTTAGAGATCTTGAGAAGATTAGGCCTTCCCATTCCCAAATTCATCTTGCCTGCAGAGAACTTGAGAGCCTGTAAGCAGCAAAGCTGACCATCTGATTCTTCCTCATACTCATCCTCCTCATCAACATCATAGTACTCGTTGCTCATACCGCCTTTCTTTCCTTTCTTGGAGGAGCTATTTTTGAGTTGCACCTTATTAGAATTAGAATGATCAGTTTCATAAGTCTCCCAAAGCAAGTCCATTCCATCACCACCACCATGATGATCCACATTGTGTCTCTCCTCAAAAAGCTTGCATGCCAATGTTCTTCTCCACTCTTTTTCTTTCGTCACTGACCCGAAATTCCCAAGAGGACTATTCCATTCCATTGTTTGGTCCTTGTCGGTAACAACTTTGGAATTGTAATTATGATCATCAATATTTATATTTTCCCCACTCCAATTAGCTCTAACTCTTTGGAAATTCATAGCATCCTCCCCTTTGCCATTATCAACACTTACTTTTGGAACTTCACTAATTTTTTTATATTACTATTCCCAAGCATTGCTGCTGCCTTGGATCCGCTCATGAATTCTTCTGCTTCTTCTTGTTCCTCATCACCTTTATTGGACTCTAAGCTAATTAGTGACTTGACTTCTTTTTCTCTCCTTTTGGACGACAAATTTTCAACCCCTTCTTTTTCCTGCAAGAAGTCTCCAAACAGTTTCACGACTGCCCTTACCTGATTATTAGCTTCAGGGCGCGCAATTTCCGCTGGTTTTTCTTCGTCTAAATTGTTTTCAAGGGGAGCTTCAACAGCTTCAAGGGAATCTTCATTGGACTCAATTTCCAAAACCTCATCAGTGGGTGACGTTTCGGTTTCGAACACCATCTTATAAGCTTCAAGCTCTTCCAAGCACCCAAACCCATCACTTTGATCCTCAACTTTAGACCTCAACGTTTCAACGAGTGTTTGGTAGGTAGTAAGTAGGAAACTCACCTTGGAACTGGATTCTGGCAATTCGAGGTGGCAAACAGAGCCTTGTTGGTTGACAAAGCTAGGCCTAGGCGTAGGAGTCAGAGTTAAAAAAGCAAGAAGCAAAAGAGTGGTAGTAACAAAAAGAGGTGAAAGAAAAGAGAAAATCTTCAAGAGGTAAGGGGAGAAGAAGATCAAGTAAGAGAAATAGAGAGGGTGAGAGAGAATGAAAGAACAAAATAGCATAAAGTCAGAGAGCAAAAGGCTTGACAGGTGATATTGAGTTTTACTTCTTGGCTGTTGGAGCCAAAGAAAATTCAGACATTTTTTTTTGGGTGAAAACGAGAGAATTCAATCAAAACAGAGGAAAACTAAACTCAAAGTGAGATGGTGATAGATGGGAACAGGGCTAACAGGGGAAGCCAAGAAGATGAGAAAAAAATTTTGGGTTGTTTTGTTGTTTTCTGCTTCAGCAAATGGCATTGGCAAATGGCAATGAACAAAAGGAAAATAAAGTTTACATGAAAATTGGTAAGTGAAGAGCGGCGTGAATAAATGGAGGAGACTGAAGAAAGAGAGAATTGAGAATTGAGAGAGTAGAGACTAGAGATTAACTAACATTGACAAGAAACAAAAGCCACTTTGGAAACTTTCTTCTGTCCCATCTGTAACCACCAACTTTATTTATTTTCCCCCCATTCTAACCAAAGGCTAACCTCGGGTCTTAGTGGGTCGACACTAATCTCTTTCCACAAAAAAAACGTAGCATTTCTTTCCAGCCGAGAATGTAACATATTAAAATTTTTTCAACAGATGGATTTTCTTTTTTTTGGTTGAAAAGGCAGAGAATGAGATTAAGAAGAAGTGAGTATGGGAAGGAAGTCCCCTTAGAATCCGAAACAACAATATCCATAACAAAGAATGGCATGAAAGGAAAAACAACAAAAGAGCCATTGCTTGAGTCCTCCATCATCCTCGCATAATTAGCTATTCGATCCTCAACTCGATTGACCTCCCTGAACGAGTGCTTGAGCATACAATTGGAAAAACTTCCCTTCAGTAACCTGCAATCGTCAATAAGATTCCTAAAGGGTGGCAATTAGAATCAGCATAAGAGAGCAGAGAAAGGATGCATGAAGCATCCACATTGACTTCCAAGTTTTGAACACCAAGGTCCTTAGCAAGATTGAGCCCATCTCTTAGGGCAATGAGTTCAGCTTTTAAGCTAGTTCCCAATCTAATTTTCCTGGCATAGCCAGCGACCCAATCATCTAATTCATTTCTTAAAACCCCCCTGCACCAGCACTCCCTGGACAGCCCAAACAAGAGCCATCAGAATTAAGTTTAACCCAACCCGAGGAAGGAGGATACCAGTCAATGTAGGTTAAAGTTTTAAGGAGCATAACTGGTTTGGGGCAAGCTAGATGGATAAATTCCTTGGCTTGAAGGACAACAAGATTCTAACCTTGAAGAGAGAATAAAGTGATCCCTTGAAAGGTTCTCTGATTTCTAGCTTTCCAAGTATGCCAGCAACAGTAAGAGAAGATGATATGCCAAGGCACATCATTAAAAACAATCGACGAAGAGAAGCTTAAGTTAAACCATTCAACAGGCTGGGATGAAGAGAAAAAGCCACCAGGGATACCAGGGAAAAGTCCCCAAATACCAGAAGCTAAGGGGCAATCCCTCAAAATATGCAAAGAATTTTCCTCACATTCAGGACAAATATCACAGCAAATCTCGCTGCTGATCCCTCTGTGTGATTAAGCATAGCTTTGGTGCAGAGACTATAATGAGCAAGAGTCCACAGAAAGTATTTAACACGGGGGTAACAATTTGCCTTCCATAGCTTAGACCAAAAAGGATTGGAGTCTCTAGGATCCTTAATAGCCAAAGAATAGGCTGTTTGAAGGGAAAAATCACCAGAGGAAGAATTGGACCAACTCATCTTATCCTCCCCAAAAGAGTAAGGAGAAGAGACAGTGGAGGTAATAAGATCCTCAATCTCGGAGGGAAATACAAAGGAGAGAATACCCAAGTTCCAACCACCATTATCCAACAGGTAATGGGAAACAAGCAACTCCTCCTCATCCCTATTAAGAGGGCCTTGGATGAGAGATCTCAGTGAAAAATCAGTGGCCCATCTGTCATGCCAAAAGGAGGTCTGATTGCCTGTTCTGATGATCTTCTTACAACCATTCTGAAAAATCCTTTTCCCCTTGCAGATACTACTCCAAGTGATGGAGTTATTTGTTGCTCTTTTGTCAAGGAGAGAGGAGTTATACTTAGCCCTCAAGCATTTAACCCACTGCTCATTAGGCTTCTTCTTTATTCTCCAAATAAGCTTAGCCATAAAGGTCAGATTCCTCCATTTTGCCTTCTTAACATTAATACCTCCAAATTTCTTTCTTTTGGCCACTTTATCCCATCCAACCAAATGCATGTTTTTCTTCTCAAGAGTGTCACCCCACAAAAAATTTCTGTGTAATCTATCAACTTCCAGATGCACAGAAGCCGGTAGAACTGCAGTTTGCATTGGGTAGTCGACAATGGCTGAAGTTACGGACTGAATTAGAGTTGCCTTCCCAGCCAAGAACAAAGTTTTGGCCTTCCAACCAGCTAATCTCCCTCTCAAGTTTTCGAGAAGAAAGGAGTAATCCATTCTCTTTGGTGCTCTGTCTAACAGGGGGCTCCCAAAGTATCTTTCCAAGTTTAAAGTCTTCCTAAACTGTAATTGGTAGGCAAGATCAGAGGCTTTATGGTCATCAATTTTAGGTGAAAATCACACCTTGGTCTTATCCTTGTTAACCAATTGCCCCGACAAATTATAGAAGTGATCAAGAACCTTCAGGATAGAGTTACAGTTTTGGGGGGTGACGCTTGCAAAAAGTAGAATATCATCAGCAAATAAAGGATGAGAGATTCTAGGACCATTTCTTCCAACTTGAATCGGCTTCCATAAACCTTCCTTACATTCATGTTCAATGCATAAGGAAAGATATTCCATACAAAGAATGAAAATATAGAGAGAGATAGGATCTCCCTGTCTAATCCCTCTGGAGGCCTCAAACTCCTTTGAAGGTGAGCCATTAACCATTACAGTAAGGGAGGGATCCGTAATAGCAGACATGATAAGCTGAACCAACTCCCTAGGGAAATTGTAAAAATCGAGCATCTTCTTGATAAAACTCCATTCAAGTCTGTCAAAAGCTTTCTCCAAATCGATCTTAATGATCATCCATCCATCCTTGGCCATGCTGGTCCTAGTAGAGTGCAAACATTCTTGGGCCAGGATCACATAATCAGAGGCTCTCCTTCTAGCAACGAAAGCCCCTTGCATGGAACTAATCAGGTCATCCAAAAAGGGTTTAATACTATTGGCAATGATCTTAGTAACCACCTTATAGGAAGTGTTACCTAAACTGATGGGTCTGAACAGTTTGATGGAGTCAGGAGAGGACACTTTGGGAATAAGGCAGATAAGGAACTTCTTCCACTCAGAAGGCTTTCTTTCTTCCACTCAGAAGGCATACAAAAGGAGGATAAAGCCTTCTGAATAGCTTGGCAAAAACTTTCCCAGTAATGTGCCAGCATTTCTGATAAAACCCCGCATGAAGGCCATCAGGCCCAGGAGCTTTGAAATGTTTTAAGGACCAAAGAGCAGATTTAATTTCATCCCATGAAGGAGTTTGGATGAGAGAGGAATGAGACTGGAATCAACCAAAGTAGATGAGAAAGGAGGAGCAAGAAGAGAGAGAGAGCTACAGGAGAAAGAAGTGGAATAGAGTTCAAAGAAGAACAAGGCAATATGGTCAGCATAGTCAGAGCCAGACAACCAATTACCCCAGCAGTCAGCCAATCAACTCTGGATTTCATAGCCCAAAGGTTCTCCTCATCCTTGAGGACATTAGCCAGATCCTGCTTGATCGTGTCGTCTATGACCATAAAAATAATCCCCACAAATAACTAACTAGAATAGCTAGGGCAATAGGGGTCGAATCCCACAGAGAAGGTTTATGTGGTGAACAATTAAAAGATAGAAAGATCTTTTCCAAAAATCGATTAGAAAACAGGGATTATGAAATAACAATTATAAAGAAAATAATTAAACTAAAAATCAAAGCAAAGCAAATCTAAATCTAAATCTAAATCTAAAGCAGATTATAAAGCAAATTAATAAAGCAAACAATAATTATAAAGCATACTTCTTCACCAGTGGTATCCTTCAATCAAATTAACTATGGATCCTAGATTTAAAAGGTGAATTTCGCATCTTATTCTTGACTGACAACTGATATAGGTTTCCCAACATGTATTTTAGATAAGAGGCCGATTAGAGCTGCAGTTATCCCTATTATTCCTTCAATGATCGATTACTTTCTTAGGGCTTAAAGATCACTTGAGAACAAAGCATTAAGAACAATTAATTTTTACACACATGCCTACAAGTAGAACCATACGAAGAGAAATTTCTCGCCCTCCGGTAGACAAATACCCATTAAGCAGCGATTAAACAAACCTAATTTGCTACATACAATCAAACTTGAGTGATTAATTCTAAGTATGATCTAGCCATAGATCTTCCTCTTACATCCTTAGTGGCCACATAATTCAGATAAGATTCAGAATCATAAAATTATTCTAGGGTTTTGACTACTATCATCAAGAACTTAACACAAAATTATAAGTATAGAAATCTCACCATAATCAATTGATTGAATTCACCAAAGGATCAGAAGTATTAAGGATTTAGCTACTCATGGATTCAGGAAAATCCATGAGAGGCATAAGAATACTTACAGGACTGGGAGAGGCGGAATCTCCCCTTTGAAAACCCTAGGGACGTCGACTCCCTCTATTGCTAGAGAGTGTGTCGACTTCTCCCTCTTCTAAAACTAGAGAAAAACCTAAAAACTAAACAAAGGTAGAAAAAGAATAAAACTATATGAGAGATTAATTGTGTAGTATGTGATTTGTGATACAGGAGGTGGCTATTTATAGTGGAGAATAAGGGTAGGACGGTTTAGGCTCTTTTCTTGGTCTCCAAGTAGGATTAGGTGTCATCCTAGAGTAGTCTCCAAGTCAAAAGAGGACTTCTAGAATTTCCTGGAAATTTCTGGATTTGAGCAGGGACTTCGACTTCAGTTTCGGGCTTGAAGATGGCAGATCTGGGCTTTGCACTTCAAAAGAAAGTTGTAGAGCTCGGAGTTAGCTTTCCAACGAGTACTCATGGGCTTAAAACGGACATCTGAGCAGAAAGTTATGGCCTTTCTACGAAGACTGCGCTGAAATCGGGCTAATATCGCAAATCTACGGGATTATTGCGGGATTTGGATATTCTTTTGGATATTAGGCCTATTAATTGGGATTTTAATTCCAATTATAGGTTTATATGGGCTGAGTATATTCCCATATAAATAATCCAAAAATCCTCAACTTCAGGGCTTCATCTGGGCTTGTCTTCAATCCTTAACAAATTAAGCTCCAAATCTTCAATTTTGCTTCTTGAATTAATTCTTCAATTCTTCAAAATATCTTCAATCACGAACTTCGAATCTTCAAATCTTCATTCCAAATGGCTAAATCCATAGTTGAGTAAAAAGTCTCCAAAATAGCTCCAAAAAGAGTGAAAAACAATAAGTTTTCACTTTTCTTGTCTTCAGGACCTAAAAACACAAATACTAACAAAATAGGGTAAAAACACATATAAAAATAGCAAAAAGTATATAAAAATAGCTATAAAAATATGCATAATTTGAGCTCGATCACTGCTTCAAGCTCTTTTCCAAGTTAACAAGAAAATGAGAAGGGGCCAAGCCTAACTTCTTCTGAATTCCATTGAGTCTAGCTAAGATCCTCCTCTTCTCATGAAAAATATTTCCAAAAGTTTCTTTGTTCCAAATCTTAACATTCTCAATAGGTTGAAACCTGAAAGGTTTGGGAGTTGAGGAAGGGAGAGAGGCTGAAGGGGATAAGAAGATGGGACAGTGATTGGAGACCGATCTGGTAAGATGGAAGAGAGTAGCTTCAGGGAACACATCCAACCAAGCTTTATTAATCCAAACTCTATCAATTCTTTCCATAATTAAGGTAGAGAAAGGGTTACCATTCGACCAAGTGAATCTTGACCCAGTAAGACCGCAATAATCAATAGCATCCTAAAGCCATTTAGCTCTAGCATAATTAACAGGCCTACCCCCAAATTTATCCTCATCCGAAATGGGCTCATTGATATCCCCAATCCAAACCCAAGGTTTATTATTGACAATAGTAGAGAGATATTTCAAGTAATCCCAAAGAAGTTTCCTACTCGCAAAATCAGGACTAGCATAAATAGCGAAAATAACAAAAGGAGAAGGATTATAACTGACCTTTACTTGAATTGTGATCTCTTGCTGGGTAAAGCTGATAGTGTCAACTTGCATTTCCTCTTTATTCCAAAGCACCCAGATACCACCAGAGAAGCCAATAGGTTCCATCGAAATGTTTTCATCAAAACCCAGATCTTCACGAATAGCATCCCCTCTAGCACCCCTAATCCCGGTCTTAGTAATGATGAGAACATAAAGGTTATTTTCTCGAACAAGCTTCCTAACAGTGCGGCTAAAATTAGGGTTTCGCGCTCCCCTAACATTGAAACAAATGATCCTCATTGGATGGAATAGTTTCATTTGCTACCCGCATTCTTCCAACTGCTTCCTTAACCTCTTCTTCAAAGAGGATTCTTCTTCGGTTTCTGGCTGGATCCTTACCAAGTGGTCCATTATTCCCCTTTCTAGCCTTGCGGAGGACTCCACGGAGACAACCGCTAGTTGGACGTGTTGTCCCTCCGCCACCACAGCCATTCGGTTTCTTCCCCTTAGCCTCACTATTGTTTCTGGGCTTCCTGGATTCAATATTCTCTGCCTCACCATCTGCAATTGGTTCCTTACAAGCGGAAGGTCCGTCTGGACCCCTTCCAACAGGCCCCTCTCCATCAGCACATACTGAAGCTCCGGATTCTGAAACCTTAGTAAGGTATGCTCCGGCGACGGTGGAAACATCTTCATCATCCCCAGCCACTCCATCGGGAGATCTGCGTAATCCTTCATTGCAGCATCGTTTGCCACTTTCCTGATGAATAGCAGGCTGATCTCCTTCTCCATGGGCTGTAGCAGCCTCGCTTCGATTCCTACACTCAGTGGGTACATAATTAAGAGTTCTTCTTCTAAGAGATGAATAATCTCCTGAATGTCCTCCGGAAGGCTTTCGATGGCATCAAATCCGCCATTAGGGTGTTCAAGAGATTGCCGTTCTTTAGAGAGTTGAGGAAGAAATGAAGAGGGAGAAGAATAATCGTCCAAATGATTCAACCCTAAATCAGCATCTGAGTTAAGTAAAAGCGGATCCGAACTTGACCCGGCCCTATTAGGGTCCAATAATGCCAGGCCCAAACCCGGTTTTTCCTTGATAATACACTTTCCCTTATCAACAGGAGGCCCAGTCAAAAGGCCCAAACTATTAGGCTGAACAACTGGAGAATCCCGCTCATTTGGGTCTTTTCCAAATTTGAAACTTCCCGCTTCTTGGGTCTCCAAACCCTAGTCGTACCATCTCCAGCAGGATCTTTGCTTTTTCTGACAGAGGAATTAAATCTTCTTCCTCTTCTATTCTTATTCCTTGTACGGGATCTGCCCCTAGATGGGGACTTTCTGGGATTATTAACTCTCATCCAAGGACCAAAACCTGCCACTTGCGAGGAATTTTCATGGACCTCTGCTTCCAAATCCTTGGGAACCTCTTCATCCACACGACATTCACCTTTTTTATGACCAAGAAGACCATAATCAAAACAGAATGTAACTCCCTCATAGATCAGCTTCTGTTTCCTTCCACCAATTCGAATAGAACTAAGCAAAGGCTTAGAAAGAGGAACTTGGACACAGATTCGAACAAATCGGCCCCTGCTACTGTTGTCAGTGTGAAAATCAATTTTCTGGAGCTTCCCAAGAGCATCTCCAACTTTAGAAAGAGTTGGCCTATCGAAATACTCGACCGGGAAATTTGAGAGTCTGATCCAAACATCCGTTACTTGTTCCTGTTTCACCTGAATCAGGTCGAAATTGGGGACCCATTTCTGAACAATGATCCTGACATTTTCAATAAACCATGGACCCTTAGCCAAGACCTTCATTAAATCCTCTCTTTTTTTCCAGTTTAATAATAAAGAAGCACTCCTCAAGGTCAATCACCTGGTATCTGCCCTGCAATTGCCATAAAGATTTGATCTTGTCATTAATGAGGCGAAAAGGAAGGTTTCTACCTTGAGCATTAATGATGAGCGAGTTGACCCAAGAGGCCCTAACTCTTGCTTTGTCTACCTTAGATAATATAATGCAGGGTGTAGAATCATCATCCTCCTCATCATCTGAGATATCATCTTCATTAATGCTCTGATCAAGCACATGGGCTGGTGAAAAGGAAAGGATTTTTTGCAAAGTTTCCTTATAGGATAGTCTAGCAGAAGATTTACCTTCTACCCCTGAAGAAGAGGTAGAAGGCACCTCTTCTGCCGCCTTCATCGGCGAGGAAACCGACAGGAGGGGATGGCCCGCGAGAGAGTTGAGGAACTCAAACTCAACCATGCTTAGAACAGGGGAAGAAAGGAAAAAAGGAAAATGGAAAAAGAGAGAACAAGAAGGATGACGTCATTTCTCTTCTGTAATTGTGTTTTAGGCTTCCCATCGAGAATTCGTAGAATCAACCTTTTGTGTTCTTACACTTGTTAGGATAAAAATTACTTACCATTTCAATCAATCATTTGTTGGTTTTTCAACTCTTTTTATGAGTACATTAGCAATTAGCTTGGCAACTGTCAAAAATGATCAACATTAATAAAATATAAAATAAAATAGATTAATGATTAAATTGGTAGTTTGGGATACCAGAAAGAATTAACTTTGCTC